GGGGGGGGGCTGTCACTCACACATCACTGGGAAATAACACATGGCCTTCTCCTTTCTCCCTACACATGGGTAGGGGGGCAGGGAGCCAGGGGGCCAAGGAGCAGGGAGAGGAAGGGGAGGGTCAGCCAGGCTAAAGACGCAACGTTGAGAGCTGGCCATTCCCTCCGGTGCCCCTCAGCCCCCTCTCCGTGCCCCCCACCCTCAGCTCCTCCTCTTCCTGCCCCCCCATCTCCTCCGCCCCCATCACCCCTTCACCCTCTGCCTCCTCTCCCTCCACTAGTGCTGCTGATCGAAGCCCCAGGCAGTGCAGGGCTCTGTGGCCGGCCGGGGCCCCCACCGGTCAGGCCTGTCCCTGCCTCGGGGCCTGCCGGCTGCCTGTGGACGCTGCCACGAGTCCATCCACCTCTCACAACACCCACCAAACCAGTAACCCTAAGTGCGCCTCTGCGCTGGGAGCTGGGGCCCTGCCAGGGGAGCGGCATCCAAGAAAGCAGGCCTGCAGAGCGAGCGCCCCACAACGTCTGCTGGCCCCCCAGAGATGAGCCCGCGACTAAAGGGGACCCTGGGGGCTGCCAGGGAAGGCCTGGGCCTACCTCCAAGCTGCCCCTGCCAAGCCCTGAGCGTCCTCCGCTACAGGGGCGGTCCGTGCCAGGATGGTGGGATGTGGGGTACAGCGGGAACCCCCAGCAGAGCCCCCCCCCAGGTTTGGGATGAGGAGGGGGATCCCGGCAAGGGCGGGGGTCCCAGGCGGGGACGGGGCCAATCCCAGGCCCTCGCCCGTCACGGCTGGTACCGAGAGTGAGCCCAGAACGAACCAGATTTCTGGAGAGGGCTTCAGGGGCCGGGTGTGCAGGGCCTGGAGTCCAGCCCAGGAGCCGGCCACCTTGAGAAGGCACCGAGGAGCCTTGGAGGCTTCCAGCTTAGGGTCCAGGGTCCTGAGGTTTAATGGAGGATGCAGGTGCCTCGAGCAGAGAGGATGGGAGGGGGGCTGAGGAATGGCTGAAGTCAGGCGGCTGGGAAACGATGGTGTCCCAGGCCAGGGCAGGGGCTGGGGACCCCGGAGGGATGAGGCCAGAGGGCGCTGGGACCGTGGGATGTGGGGGGCGTGACGAAGGGGGCAGCAGGCCTTTGCTGGGCAGATGGGAGCGTGGCCACAGTCCACGGCAACCCCCCCCCCCCCGGTTCCTGCTGGTGGCCACTTGGTGGCTCTTCCCTGTCTGGCCACTCTAATGCCGGCAGCATGCACGTGGCACAGGGGTTGGGGCAGGGGACAAGGTAGGGGCACTGCCTGGCTAAGCCACAAAGCTTTGGGCTTTGGAGTCAGGCACGGCAACTGCCTCTTACTGGAGCTGTGTGACCACGGACAAGTCGCTTAACCTCTCCGTGCCTCTGCTTTCTCCCCTGCAAGGCTCCTGAAGAGTCTCGGGGGCCGTGTCCACACGTGCCTGGCGCGGTGGCCAGCACCCTCCCCGTGGCCACTGTCTCCGCACACCTAGAGGGGTGGCCGAGCACAGCGCAACACCAGCGGCCCC